GAAACCCTGTGTGAGATCCAGAGGAGCGTGGCGGCCTGATCCACCGCCCACCTCTTCCCGTCTTCGAGCGCGACTAATATAAGACGTATTTACGATTTCTACATTGGTGGCCTGTTCACCCAGAGCATCCGGAGCTCTGCACCGTGGAGCCTAGCAACCTCCACAAGACCGTCTGTGTTGTGTCTGTCTGTAACTGCAACTTAAGCAAGCTTTCCAGCCTACACCACTGCCATCTCGGTGTAAGTAAACAATCTTTTAAACTACCGATACGTGTCCGTGCCTAATTCCAGAGCGAAGGCCTTCCCTCTCCGCCCCCGCGTGCCCAGGCTGCTGGCCACAGCCCGCGTGCAGCGCGAAAAGGGCTCGGGGCGCTCCCGGCCCGCACATCTACGAGATGCTTTACTGCGTAGGTAAATACGCTACCTCAAATGCAGGTAGCAAATTGACCGCAGAGTAGTTACTGTGCGGTACGGCACGTGTAGATGGCCAAGACAATGTCCCCTTGCTCCAGCAGCATGGAGCTCCCGGCTACTATTCACAATTGCAGAGCTGGGAGCTCCTTGCTGCTGGGGCAGGGACATTGGCAGAGCCCAGGCTGGGACACTGGAGCCTGCCCCAGCAGCAGGCAGCTCCCAGGGGTAGGGAGCAATCTCCCAGCCCCACTCTTATCATGGAGCTGGGCCCAGGAGCTCCCTACACAGGGAGAGTTCCCTGCCCAGTCTGGAGCTGGCCGGGACCAGCTCCAGGTTGGGATAGCTCCTGGGCAATCAAGGCACAGGGCTTGGAAAGAGCTGAGGGGGAGGTGCAGGTCCCAGCCCCCACCCTGATCTGCTGGTGGGGCAGCTAGCAGTGAGCCCATGACTGGGTGGGGATTCCAGGCCCAGCCGTGGGACTCACTGCTAGCTGCCCCACCAGTGGGACAGCTCCCAGCTGCACCCCACTGAACGGGAAATTCCTGCCCAGCTGGAGATGTACTGCTAGCTACCCCACTGGCAGATCAGCAGAGGTCTTGGACCTGCCCCACTGCCACAGATCTTTCCCAGCCCCCTGCCCTCGATTGTGGAGCCAGGACTGGGAGCCCCCTGCTGCTGGGAAAAGGGGACGTTGCTCCCTGCCCCCAGGAGCTGCCTGCTGCTGGGGTGGGCTCCGATGGTGAAGCCCAGGGTGAGAATCTCCTAGCCCATGATCCCTGCCAGGCCCTGGACTAGCATCCAGGCTGCTGCAGGGGGGCAGAACAGGGTGGAAACAGCCCTCTCCAGGCTGATCCCATTGGGAGCAAATCTGCTTCCAAATGCCTGCACATGTAAACGCCTGTCCAGCATGGATTTACTCCACAGTAAATTACTGCAGAATAAACCCATCCAGCAGCATTTGCACGTGTAGCACACTCACTGATCAAGAAAAGTGGAGGCTTATGAGCCTTGCTTTAGCCATGATTAGGTTGAGCTGACAGGCAGACATGCAAGAGGGGATGCCAGAGACAGGTCTGGAATAAAGGGGTAGATGTGTCAGCTATCAGTACCAGAGCCAGTAGCTAAAATGTGTGTTTGTGGAATACTGCTCAGAGCTGAGAGACAGGAGATGAGAACTAAGTGTTGTGGACCTCTGGCAGAAAGTTGATGGTGGGAAGGAGGAAGATTCTCCAGCAGATATGCCAAAAGACCAAGGAAAAAAGGTAGGAGGTAATCTGGAGAGGGAAAAGTCATGGAAACCAAGGATGAATACAGTTTAGAAGAGCATAAGTTGACTGCTACAGGCAGCTGACAGATCAAACAGGATGAGGATGGAGTAGTCATTTTGCAATTAGCTATGGAAAGGTCATAACAGACCTGAGCAATTCAGTGGAGTGCAAGCAGCAGAAGCCAGATTGGAGAGGGGCTTGGATGAAACTGGAAGAAAGGATCTCCAGGCAGCAATTGTTGATGGCACACTCAATAAGATTGGAGAAAGAGAGGAAAATGGGTTAGAGACACAAGGGGTGGAGGATTTTTTTTGATATATATAAAATAGTTTGTGAGAGATTAGAAGGAGTATGGAAAAGGATGATAGGGGATGCAAGGGAAGGGGCTTAAGAGGAGCAAACTAGAAGCTCCTGGGAAGAGTTACCAGGTGGGGGAAGGGAAGCTCATGTCATCTTTTATCAATTTTCTCTTGGAAGAAATTGGTAAGATCGTGTTCAGAGAGAAATGTAGGTAGGAGGAGGAAAAGGCCTGAGAAACAAGTCAGTGGTGATGAAACGACAGCTTGATTGCAGGCATGAGGTTCAAATAAACTGGAAAAATGGAACTGCACGCCTAACTCCCTCATCCTTGTTTGAGAATACCCTGTAAATCTGCAAGGACACTTCCGTGGTTCTAAGTCGGCATCTGCATTGTAACATAAAACTGAAATGTTGCTTTCTATGCTTTTACTCTACCTCTCCAATGGTGTATCCTAATTGTCTAGCCCGAACAATCATTTCCATCTGGAAGACGTAGCCTTTAGAAACACATTTTTCCATTAGTTTCTCCAAGACCTCTTTTCTGTATAACCTGTAAATAATTAAAATTAAATTTAAACCTGTAGCCCAACTTTGATTTTTAGATATCAAGATTCTTTGCACAATTATTGTAATAAAAGCAACCTATCTATCTTAATATTGTTTAAGTATCATTACTAAAAAGTTTTAGGAACAGTGCCTTTGGTAATTCAATCAATCTTTCTTGTTCACTTACTTAGGTGAATTTAATAGTACTCATTAAATAGATATGTTATTATTACATCCTCTGGGCTACCAATTGAAATTTGCAATATAACTACAGCTATAAAAAGCCAACACAAACATACCTGAAACTTCCTGTTAAGTCTGATGCACCTGGTCTCAGCAAAATCTGAGTTATAAAGTTGGCACCACGACTGTCAAAGAAAACACGAATGTCAGAAAACAATCAAAATATACTGGTTAGAACAAGCAAAGTTTCACCAAAAGAATATAGCACTATCAAAAAAAAAAGGGAGGAATGGTATCATTTTATATGGAAACAATTATCTAGCTAATATTTTTGCTGAACTAGACTGGATGAATAAGTGCTGCATAGGAAGTAAAAAAAAATTACTTCATTGTGGAAAAAGAACAGGGGTTTAAAAAAGCCAAGTTTACATCCTTTTTCATCCTTTATAGGAGAATTACCATGTACAACTACAAATTATACCTGTCAGTTTCAGGTCTAAGAACAACTGCTCCAGTCTTGGAAAATACATCATATCAGCTGAAGCCATGAGAGCTGAAACATGCCTAGGCACTGCAAGGGAGTACTAGCAATGGCACTCCAAACTTGTGCCCCAGTACAAGACATACAAAGTGCTCAACACAGAGAGACGAAGTACTCAAGAAGATTCCGCCCCCAGGAACATCCACTTTGATCTCCCCACCTCTTTTTTAATGTCCATTCCATCTAGACCCATGGGCTGGATCAGGCCCACGGCAGATTCCATTTCCCAGCACTCAGCTCCCAGCACTGATCTTCATGGAGACCCTGGGAGCATGAGGGCCTGAGCGCAGGGTCATGACAGTGTGGGGCTGTCATGCTTGCATTCTCCTGGGTGCCCATAGAGACTGGCTGGGAGCCAGGGCTGCTGGGAAATGGAGTTCAACTGCCAGCCAGATCTACCATTTTGCTCACCCCTGATCTAGACTGACAAAGCAATAAGTAATTATTCCATAAAAAAGTTAAACATAATAGCTGTAGGATCTGCCTTCTTTTTAGAATGACACCAGTTCTAAGGACCAACCAGTTCACTCAACCTATGTCTGTTCTTTAAAAACCATGCATTACAAGACCAAGATTTTATATGGGAGAGAGAAAAAATCTGCCCTTGCTGATAGGCCCCTAATTGCTGCAAGCCTGCTACAGACTTGAGAGGCCAATCTCCATTTTCTTAAGTGACTTTGACAGCACTTTTCTTTTCTGTAGGATAAAATCATTTCCAACTGTCCATTGCAATCTTTTTCTAGCAAGATTTAAAGTTTATTTAGATTGGTTAATACGAAGGTTTGTGCTACATAAGTCCTAATTCCTGACAGATAACACAACCAAAACGAGGTTTACTACAAGTAGTTTGCAGTTGGTGAAAAAAGCTAGCACAACTTTTGTGTATGGCTGAATGTCCCTATTTAATTGGGAAGAAATGCAGTGGCAGAAGCTAATACTGCGAGGCCAAACTGCTGTGATACAGATGTATACAAAATGCTGGTTCAACTCTGCCCTGAATGGTCCAGTTCCTCAAAGCAGTCTCATTGTTATTGATGTTGCCTTAGCCAAAGAATATCAAACCATGCAAAGTTTCTACTCTACTAAATATAATTTTGTGATGGGAACTTCATTCACTAGACTCAGCCTAGGGGGCTCACTTCAGTTTGTACAGAAGGCAACTGGGACCCCTGAGAAGTCTCAGAGATAAAAGGCTCAACAGTTGTTGGTTTGAGAAATCTTTTCTTTGCAATTCTAAAAAAGTTTTTAGCAGTGATTTCATCTGCAAATGCATGAGTAAGAATACCAACCTGATTATTTTTCTTTTCAAATCCCAGCCATACACTCCTCCATTTCCTCTATACCGTGTTCCAGATACAATGTCAAAATTACCTTCTTTTTGCTTTCTATATGAAAGAATGGATTTCAAAACAGGAAGATTTATTGTATGAAGCCAACAAATTGTTTTCAAACCCTCAAACAAATAGACGATTTGACGTGAAGGTAATAATTAGGCACCTGATTAGCACTATATTTTTAAATACTTTCACCGTTCTCTTTACATTCTTCTAAAAAGCAGAAGTATTGCAAAGCATCGAAGGATTTTTTTTGCCATCTGTGCAAGAGAATTTCAAAGCCTGCTTCATGAATAATTTATATAGCCCTACTTATTTTTGATGGCAAAAAAAAAGATTTATGTCCAATGAAAAATGAAGATTTTGAAAAGATACATATTAAAATCCTTTCATTACATAAGTGGGCAGCAACAAGATTAAGAGTCACTGGCACCTCAGGGCGGGCTGCACTGCCCCGCTGTCCACCCTGCGGTGCGCGCACAGTCTCTGCCAGCACAGAGCTGATGCCAGAGCTGTCGCGCCTGGTGCAGCTGTTTGCAGCCTGCCCGCTGCTTCCTGCAGCTGCCCAGAGCCCGGACTGGCTACAAACACCTGCGCCGGGCTCAACACCTCCGTGCCGGGAGCGGGGGAGAGACTGGGGCTGCGCTGCCTCTCCCCCACCGTCCACTCCGAGGCGCGCCTGCACATGCGGGTGCAGAGCTGATGGCGGAGCCCAGTACAGCTGTTTGGAGCCTCCCCGCTGCAGCCGGCCCCGGCTCTGGGGACCTGCTGCCAGCCGGGATCCTGGGCTGCTCACAGCAGGCAGCTGGGACGCTGCAAGCCCTGCTGGGAGTAGCCTGGGCTCCAGCAGCTACCCAGAGCCAGGGTAGCTGCTGGCAGCCACAGAGCCCGAGCTGTAGGGCAGGGGCTTTGGGTGGGGGGCAAGGGGCACATTTTCTTTTTCCTGCCATGTGGGCACTTGGGCACCTTCTGAGGTAGGCATTGTACTGTTTTTCGGCACTCCGGCCAAAAAAACATTGCCTACCCCTGCATTAATACATCTTCATGACTGGTACCTTAAAAACAGTTAGTCCTTATTAGATCTATTTGAACCTTTGTCCTGTTTCTTATAGCACTTGGTGCAAAGTCCTGGAAGAGCTTTTCTACTACGCTGAATTAGTCGTATAGTAATGCCAGGCATTCAGATGTTAATATCGCAACCCAAATACTTTAAATGTTATACCCAAATATTAAAATTGACACTTACCTGATGAACTCCGGAATAAATTTTGGCTGAGATACAAGTCAGGCAGATGAGGAAAGAAAAGGGAAGGTGGGGGGGGGAAGAAAAGCTAAAGTCAGTATAAGTTAACTTAAAAAAAATTCTAATTATAGAACACAGATGATAAACTTACATGATGCGAGAGGTCAGCATCCATAATAATAATAAAATTCCCCGTGGCATGCTGCATTCCATGAATATAAGCAGTGCCTGATGAAAACAGGAGAGGGATCATTTCTGTCACAACCATAGCATTCACAGTCTCAAACCAGATCTACTCTCTCTCTCTAAACTTCCTAAATTGTTCCAGAGAGGGGATTATGTAAAGACTCCCATGGTTTTTCTTTCATTCATTAATCACCTCTCAAAATAAAGATGATTTTTCTTCTCTTTATAATTTTCAACACTAGATTTTATGCATATAAAACTTGGTAAGACCAACTCTATTGCAGCAGGAATAACCTGCACTATGCGACTCAGTAAGTGGGTAGCCATCCCAAGTAACATTTTCCAAAGTGCCTAAGGCATGTAGGAGCCTAAGAACTCGCATATATTTACCTACTGTTGCTAGCAGAATTTCTAGTGGCATCCAGTAGCCACCACTACCAACCCATGTTACCATGAGCACATCCACTACAGTAGCTGTGTTTCCAAAGTGTACCTTGTACAAAATGTACCTTGGGAAGGCACCAGCTTCTCAAGGGACAGCTAAAACTGGAAGAAGGGATGGAAGCATTTATATATGCCACCTGCAAATCATCAGATGGCAGCAGAAGCCTTTCTCCATTTAACAGAGATGGTATAACTCTGCTGACAGAGAAGTGGCTTTGTCCCCACAGATGATCTTTCAGCATGGCTGCATTCAAAGCTCTGCTGGCCAGACTTCTTGTGATATAGACTATGCTTCTGCACTTAAAAACAGGACCTGGAAAGAACTTTGAAAAATGTTACCTTCCAACCTTAAGATGTATTATTACAGAAGAATGTCAGTTAGCCAGAACAATTAATATTTTCATCATTCTGGATAATCAAGTTTTCCAGATAAATAAACATGGTAGCATGAAGTGCTGAGAACTGTAATTCCTGTACTTGCTTAAAAAAATCTCAAAGCACTAATAAATAAAAAATGCAGTTGCCTCACCAACAAGCAAAACCCAACTGTGGGTTTGTTATTGCAAAACCTTCCAGTTAATTGATTTTCTGGATAATCAACCCCTGGATAATTGACAACTTCTGGTAGCAATAGCTACCATTTTGCATTGTTCTATTGGTCATTGTGAATAAAAATCTCTCTTCCAATGCCCAATCTAAAAATCTTTTCTTCCTTATTTTCAGTTTTGTTATGTTTTAACCATCTCACATGTATTGGTTAATATTGGTTAATTCTGCATTAGAAAGTAAACAAACAAAAAAAAAAGTTATCAAAAATGTTTTCCTCATGAAAACTGCTTTCTGATTTCAGTTATCCTATTTTAAATCCATGGGGTGTCCAATGAAGCTACAGCGAGATCAAAATTTACCACACACTCTTCTCTATGCCAAAATTCATTTTGTTGATGTCTTGTGAACTTTTCTAAAATGTAGATGTCATTTAAACAAAGAAACAAACATCTTGCCCACATCAAGCATTTACACAGGGAATTTAAATCCTAGTTAATGAATAGCTTGCCTCATCTCTTTCCCACAACATTTGAAAAATTACAAGCCAGGAATGCTGTGTGTATAATTAGCAAATAAACGTATTGCAGGATAGACATGGTGCATTAAAACCTTGAACCAAGCCAAATTTTACAAATATAGGACTTTGCTCTTTGAAGTTTGGAAGAGAGGATCAAATCCAAGATCAAGATAAAAATTAGGCAGAAAATAAAAGTGCCTAAATTTCTGTGGAGCCTCATATCTAAATAGAGTCATATATAAAATGCAAATATAGATAAAGAGTATTCAGTATCAGACTTAGAACTTTTACCCTCCTGTGTGTACTGAAACATGCTGTAGTTAACCTTTTCCCGTGGGTCTAGTGGATAACTGCATACAATTCAGTGAAGAGACAAGAAATGCTTCATCAGCACATGGGAGTGGGAAAAGTCAAAGCATTCAGCAAGAAGGGAAAACATTGATTTCCAATAAGTCACAAGCAGTATGTTACATTCTACCACTTTTCCCATTTCATGCATAGGGAAGGGGAAGAAATTTGTCAAAGGAGACATAGATTTTTAACAGACTAAAGTGCATAAGACTGTGTTTTGTGAATTTTGTTTTACTCAAGGTATAAATAATTATCAAACGCGTTAGGCTTATTTTAAGCAATGTAATGAAAGGTAGATAAGGTCTGCCTAGTCTGGAGACGTAGTAATGAGTTAACAGTAAAACTACAGAAAGTCTAAGCCTGCATCGTCTATGTCTAATGGAACATTCGATTTCAGCACATAATGCTGTCCACAACATTTTGGGTGCCTCCTGGCATGTGATAAACAACTTTTACAACAAGTTTCAGTGCCTTCACCTCAAGCAAGTTAATAGGAAAAGGCAGTACACAGCACTTTCCAGGACTGGACCCTAACAAGAGATATGCTATTTGAGTTCCACTAGAATCCTACTCAATTACAGATTAACTGTTCCCAGTGTCTACAAACACATAAGAGGAACCAGTCTTGCTCTGCAGGCCCTGATTCTGTAACTTCCTGTGTGCGGGCAGTCTGTTAAATTTGCAAGAACCCTACTGAGTCACTGGGGCTCACAGTTATGCCTTTGTCACAAGAACATACATAATGCTAACAGGAAAGCATAGTTACGTAGACTGGCCATGACCACAGCTTGACGGTTTGAGGTTATGGGGAACCGGCTGTAAGTTCACTGTGATTTTACATGTGTGGTTAAGTCCCTTGAAATTTGTTTACTTATTATAACACGATGAAAAAAGCATCATTGGTTAAGGGTTTCACTATGATTCTTACATAATTTGCAAAAAAAAAAAAAAAAAAAAAGTTTATTCTAAACCAATAGTAGCTTAATGAGTACTTACCCAATCCCAACTTTTTAGCTCTGGGTCTTAGAAGCTGTAAGATATATTAAGAAATATTTGGTTAATATGTTAATAAAGTTATCTACTGTAATGACTACAGTTTCTCTCGCTTTCAGTACAGTCTCAATATTCCGTAGCTCAGTGTAGAAGTAATCAAAGACCCTTCTTTTCTTTTAAAATCCTATGTAACGCAGAAAATCAAGTAATCTAAGTAAATACAGCTCAACAGAAACATTTACATTAACTAGGCATATACAGTATAACCTCATAAAAAAAAACCAAACAGAATTCTCAGAAATCTGGCACTTTTAAAAAATACACAAATCAGGGAGTAGTGGTAGCTGATCCTGGAGCAGCGGAGAGGGAAGCTTGCACACGGCGGTTGCCACCGCCATCCACCACCCTGTGTCGCTGCTCCATGTGCGGCCGCTGCTCTAGAACTGGCCACTGCCACTCGCCCTCCCCCCCGCCTCAACTGGCCACCACTCCGGTTTCAAAAATCCGGACTTTTCAAATTTCCAGCAGGTGCTTGGTCCTGAACATGCTGGATTTAGGAGGTTATACTATATAACTAAACTAGGGTTACTGTATTTCCAGTTTCAAAAAAGAGGACACCTGTCCAGGGGTGGGTAATATGATTGGGGGGT